CAGAAGGCAATACGAAGCGGCAACTACAGTTTATTAGTGGATAGCACAGATCACAATGCTATAAGCATGTCGAGCGAATTTGAAGCAAAGGGGGAAATGTGTGTGTGTGTGAGGAAATACATAGGCAAATTTATAGACAAATCGAATAAAGCGCAGCTAAGCAAAGCAAAGGTTAACAATGGGATTCCAGTACATATATAGATGAGGAAGAGAATGATTCATCAAGCCATATTAAAGCTGTCAACACTTTAGTTAGAGTCTATCATATGATCAAGAGTATATGTTTATACAAACAAGATAGTAATCATAATATGCGAATTGTTACTATTCGAATAACATTGTCTGTTAAGTAATTCAATACAAGAGCTTAACAGGAATTCACCATAATCGAAATTGATTGTAAGAGAATTGGTATAATTGATTTAACATTGAGAATGACCATATGAAAGTGATTAATAAAGGATCCAACTGCTGATGTAATTTAAACTATTTACCGACAATTAAACACTTTTCTCAGCTTTTGACTGAGATCATGAACCGATTGATGTTAGACTACCATTGAAAACCTCGAAGCACTGGACGGCCGTTTCGTCCTATTGTGGGACTCCTCAGCAGTGCGCATCCACGATCCTGCTTGCAGGACTCCAACCGAGGGCCTTCAGACTCGCGGGCGAACGCTTAACCTACTGGACCACTGAGCTGGCATCCAATGGTATTAATGTCTCAGCTATTGTTTATTTCAATCTTCCTATTGATGTTTACAATTGAAGTTGATCAGTTTGTTATTGGTACATGTATATCCTGTGTGAATTGTCTCGATATTCCTTTAAATCACAAAGATGATTGGTGGCTATCAATTGGATCCAGGACGCATGTTTCGTCCTATTTGGAACATGTTTGGATTCTACTCCTAGTCACCATCCATCTATCTTTACTTATAATTTCTAGGATGTTCTCATTCTCTTCTAAAGGTCTACATCATTTAAAAACACGCAAAATGACAACATAAGGAAACTGTTTAAATCAAAAGTTATTCATTGATGAAGTGATCTGTTAAGTCATTTGTTACATAGTAGATCCATCATTACCTTCTATGTATTCGACAAAAAAACAAACAAACCCAAAGAAGTATATGGTCACTTAATTCATTTGAACATTTAGTTATACTAATAATCCCTTTAATTTCTAATCCTTAATGATCCTAAAGCCTGAAGCAAATTTGTCTAATAATTTACTGTTTCTATGTTGTTAACATCAAATAAGAATAATTTTTTTCACTTTTTTTTATTCCCGGAAAAAACAAACAACCAAAGAGAGAGAGAGGGAGAGAGGGGGAGACCGAGAGAGAGAGGGGAGGGACTATATGTATGTAAAACTTGTTTTCACTTTCATTATTTATCATTGTATATTACATACCTGAGCATAAACACATTGGTACTAAGTTACATTTTCATTTCTAATCCAGTTGAACTTATACCATGTATAAGATTGCCCTAAAGCATATCTTGTGCCTATCAATAATACAAGCATACATTATTCACTTATATCTATATACAGGTAAATTGAATTGGGAACAACGATTTGAAAAGAAAAAAGAAGAAGAGTTTATTAATCCGATAATCAATTCAGATCCGACAACAACGAATAACTAAAAAGGAGAACAACAACAACAAGAACAAGAAGATTTGACAACATAATTATGCAATAGCAACTATTTTTTTAAAAAAGAAAAACAACAACAACAACACCAGCAACGACATATGTGTGAATGATTGTTAAGGGAATAATCATAATCGTCATCATTACAACGAAGAAGAAGAAGAAGAAAAAAACAACCCCATCATTATGTGAAAAGAAACTAGATGAATGGAGTGATCTATGTCGCCTATGGGATTTTAAATAATGATTAGTTTATCCAAGTTACAAGAGATAAATTAATCACAACTTGAATATGTATATTGGTATTTACAATGAGTTGATCTAAGTCAGACTACCATTAAGAAACATCTAAGTACTGGACGATTGTTTCGTCACAGTATGAAACTCTTCAGTAGTGCGTATCTATTATCCCACATGAGGAATTCGAACCCAGGATCTTCGGCTTCGTATGTGAATGCTTAAACTCTAGACCATTTAAAACCGGCAACCAATAATGTTAATATCTAACTTCAATTGATTCATGATCTTTTACAACCCTTCATCTATTATCTGAAATGGATAACTGTCTCAACACGACACAGACTAATGTTTATAACAAATATCTTATAGTTGTGTTGACTTCATTAAATGTTCAATGATTTTTCGTGGTTATGAAATCAGTATACTAACTTGATATCAATGACATGAATGAAAGCAACAGAGGACGATAATGAATAAGGTTTGAAGGATAACACAACAACATTGTGGATTAGTACTAGTTATCGAATCTTATTTACTGGGAACAACTTGACAAGAGACAAAGTGTTTTTTCTTAGTGATGATGACAGTGATACCGATGATGTAAATTAATGTATGTTTTGTCTTCCACTAACATGTAAGTAGATGTTAGTTGACTTATTAAAGCTTCCTTTATCGTTAAGAGAAATCATACTGTTAAAAGTAAAGAGTATTTTAGTCAACTGTGTACTCAGTCACAAATGTATGTTTTCTTCTTGTCATTGGCACATTTATGATAATTAATGTTAATTATCAGTATAAGGTTGTGGAGGTGATTGCCGCGAGCAGGATTGTGGATGCGCACTGCTGAGAAGTCTCACAATAGGACGAAACGACCTTCCAGTGCTTTTAAGTTTTCCATGGTTGTCTGATATCAATCAGTTCATGATCTCAGTAAAAAAAATCTCCACAAAACCCATTCTGATAATAATAATCACCTGTTCACTAGTGATTGACTTCAGGAGATACTCCTGGAGTTCTAGTGAGAAGCCGTTAGCAATAGAGTTCAACTAGGTCTGTTTTGAGAAATCAACTCACTGAAAACAATGGTGTACGGTGACGCAACTTCGTGGATTGGTTGAAGTTAAACATTAACACCGTTGGATGCCAGCTCAGTGGTCTAGTTGGTTAAGCGCCTGGAGCGAGACTGATAGGTCCTGGGTTCGAATCTTGCGGAGTGCAGGGTCGCGGATGCGCACTGCTGAGGAGTCCCGTACTAGAGCGAAACAGCCGTCCAGTGCTTCCAGGTTTTTCATGGTGGTCTAGCTTCAATTGACTCATGATTTCAACAAGTGAAGTTTCTAAAAATCTCCACAAAACCCATTCTGATAAAAAAATAATGTTAACCCTATTACTACAGTTAATCAGAACGACTATTCAGTATTTAGTTATAGATTATTCGATTAAAGTTCCCACCGTAAATTTAAATATTGATCGTTCATTAATTAATTATAACAAGTTGGTAAGTAATACTTCTTAACCTTATTCATTAATAACATCTTCATTATCTCTTTAAGTGTGATATAAAGTCACTAATCCATTATTCATGAGTAGAAATAGGATCATTAGAATAGAGTAAAAAATATAAATTTACTTGGTGTTGTTTTACTTGTATCTTTCCACTGTTATTTAGGACTGTAGTTGATCAGTCTCTTGTTGGCATATGTGTCCTGGATTCCATTAATATACATTATCCATCTTTGATTATAATGCTTGTGATCTTAAGCTATATCGAGGCAATCCATACAGGATGTACATATGCCACTAAGAGATTGATCCATTACAGTCCTATACAACAATGAGAAGATTCAAGCAAATAATAGCAAGTGAATTTAAAGTTCACCACATTGCACAAATAGGTGGCTATCACGACTCAGTAGCTAAGTGGATAACGCGAGTAGTAGTGAGTTCGTGTCCCGGGAGGGGGGAACATCAATTCTGAGATACAGGTACATCCAGCTGACGAGTCGCAAATAGGACGAGACACTCGTCTTAAATGGGTTACATTCTCCAAATTGAATGATTGAATTATACAGTTTGATACTGTAAAACAAAAAGGTCTATAAAGTATTTACCTATAGATCTAATGAAAGTTTTACGATTAGATCATTCGATTCGAAACATAGAACACTTTCAAAAATTCTTTTTCATAAATTACAAACCTTCTTCATTATTTTAGGATAGAAACAACTAACCAACCAACCAACCAACCAACCAACTCATGTTAAATTTGAATAAACTTCATCATTACTCGTCAACATATCACCCACATATTTTAAGATTTATCCAAATGGGTACAAACACACTGCGTGTATACATCATCTTACTTGATGTGTGGGTGGATAGAGATTTTCTTCTGTACTAACTAACTAACTAACTAATAATAATGGTAGTAATGGTAATACAAATAGATGAAAGAGAATTTTCATGTGGGTAATAATTATTACAGATGTATATGTATAAGTTGAGCATAGAGAAGTGTACACTGACGAATGTCTAAACAATAATCAGTATTATAAGAAATAGAAATTACTATTGAGAAATGCACTTGAAGTACTCACTTAGACAAGATAGTTCCGGTTTTAAAAAAACTAAGCCTATCAGTATTAGATGAATGTACAGTCATACAGGAATTTGTCTGAATGTTTTATCCTTCAAATAATAATAATAATAAACCACTTAAACTTCTTCCCACAATAGTCCACTATCATTAATCATAAATAAATTCAATTATATAGATAAGGAATATATCAAGTGAATCCCCCCCACACCACACCATCCCGACCCTACCCCCACTCCCGTGAAAAAGAAGAATTCTTTGAAAGTATTGAATGTGTCCATGTGAAAATCAATGTGAAATCATTCATTTCCCCTAAAATTTATCATTAATTAATAGATTTATATAAATTAGCTGGACAACAAACTGATTTCGATTTACTCTGTAATTTATTAAGTGACAAATATTGACAATTAGGAAGGTATATATCAATCATTAATTTCTAATTTAGTAGTATTAAATAGGTTGAATTCATTAAACATCAACTTGGTATTTGGAACCTTCAATTTTAATCATCATCATCATCATCATCATCATCATCATCATCATCATCATCATCATCATCATCATCATCATCATCATCATCATCATCATCATCATCATCATCATCATCATCATCATCATCATCATCATCATCATCATCATCATCATCATCATCATCATCATCATCATCATCATCATCATCATCATCATCATCATCATCATCATCATCATCATCATCATCATCATCATCATCATCATCATCATCATCATCATCATCATCATCATCATCATCATCATCATCATCATCATCATCATCATCATCATCATCATCATCATCATCATCATCATCATCATCATCATCATCATCATCATCATCATCATCATCATCATCATCATCATCATCATCATCATCATCATCATCATCATCATCATCATCATCATCATCATCATCATCATCATCATCATCATCATCATCATCATCATCATCATCATCATCATCATCATCATCATCATCATCATCATCATCATCATCATCATCATCATCATCATCATCATCATCATCATCATCATCATCATCATCATCATCATCATCATCATCATCATCATCATCATCATCATCATCATCATCATCATCATCATCATCATCATCATCATCATCATCATCATCATCATCATCATCATCATCATCATCATCATCATCATCATCATCATCATCATCATCATCATCATCATCATCATCATCATCATCATCATCATCATCATCATCATCATCATCATCATCATCATCATCCTATAAATCATCCAAATCCAATATAAATGATTTTAGTTGATTTTGTCCAAAAAAGGAGTTGGAAAGCTTATTGACCTTTCAGGAAGAGAGAAGAACTTTAACAAAGATATACGAAACTGGAGCATTGAAGAGATTAAATCGATTGGATATGTTAGCGGTTTAGTTTGTTTCAATTCGTGTATAATTAGGGATTTTAAGGCAATTATACTTTATGAAGCGAGCGAACACGCTACCAGTCTATTTCTGTACAGCTACACTAGGGACATTTCTATCGATAAACTTTGTAACAGTTCAAAAGTGATAAGTGAATAATCTATACACTAGAATGAGATTTGTTTAATAGCATCGTATGTATGCATTACATGCATATTATCGAATACACAAGTCAGCGACCTATACACCTCATAGTACACACATAGGTATGGGTACGATTTGTTTTTTGTGCAACAGATCAGAGCTCAGTACTACTGGGAATTGAATGAGGTGATTATCTTCAAATCATCTAATGAAAGTAGTTTGTTGAAGATCTGCTTCTTCATGTTCATACTACAAACAAGTTTAGTATCCATCTTTGTACACTGGCTATAACACAGTTTATGACTATCACTCTGGTTTGTACCAGATCTAATCGGACCTCCTAGAGATAATTCTATCAGCAGTATAACATTAAAATGAAAGATGTTTTCTGAAAGCTAAAATAATTATTTTTTTTCCCCCTAAATAATCTTGATAATAGACGAAGCTTATAATATTTTTTACACCAGCTGACATTAGTTTAGAAAAACAACACCCCACCACCACCACAAAGTTGATCAATAATCTCTTCGGTCTGCTAGGACGACTAGATTTTCCAATCTCGCCCCCCTCTCTCTCTTTCTCTCTTGTTTTATGTAACGCTTGTTATTTTTTTCAAAAAAAAAAGAAACAACCTTAGTTACTGTCAACTAAACCAAATCAATCTTTTATCCTACCTACCTTTAAAAATGTTGACTTCCCTCTCGTTGTTTTATTCTTTTATAGTTTCTATCTTTCTAAACTTGTCATATTATAAGTCTGGGAATAGGAACCAGTTGTTTTTGTCAGTTCTTTAAAATAATCAGTATTTATTAGTTAATAATGGTTTATTCGAATATTAGTTTCTTATTGATTATATCATATTAAAATGAAACATATACGAGTACACATATTCAGCTTAAAAGAAAACTCAATATGAGTAATAAACAAAATTGGTTTCATGTTTGTTTGTTTGTTTGTTTAATGGGGATAAAAAAGCATCATAAATAGTGACTAGTCATGGAATCCTGGAAGTTCGTTTACACCTACTTGTGACTCATCAGCTAGATGTGGGTGGGTGATCAATGTCATGTGTGTCAAGTCCTTCTCAGTGCAGATCGAATGAAATCGACCAAGTTGCAATTTGGCCACTAGTCTAGGTGACTTAACATTGCGTGCACTATGTTAAGATAAGGTGGTGGTTGAAGGTAGTCAACAGGAAACTCTAGAGCAAGGTTTTGTGCTATTTGGTAGTCGTCAGCAAGGTGTACCCGTAACCTTGAGGGAACTGGTGCTCCCTGATGGATTCGATATCGTGTCACCACATTGCAACTTGGTCGATAGGATTCGACTTGCACTAAGAAGGACCTGACATGCATAACATTGATCACCACCCAGCGATTAATCCATTGTAAATACATCTCAGTCCCACATGAGGTCACTCGCGGCCCGGATAGCCCAGTGATAATGTCTCTGACTGTGAAGCTGGGTGACACGGGGTCGGATCCGTTAGGGAACATCAGTTCTCTCAAGATTTCAGGTACACCTTACTGACAAGTGCCAAATAGCACGAAACCTAGGTCCAGAGTTTCTTGTTGACTACTTCCAACCGCCATCTTACAAACTGTATATATAGGCAGAAATTGATCCATTTCACACATGCTGAAAGTATACTATAAACCAAGTTGTCTCTATAGTGATACATTGAATAATGAAGAGTTTTACAGCGCGCAAACAACGAAACGTTTGAAATTATTCAGATATTTGATTCCTAGATTATTGTTCCCTTAGTCATGTATCTATTAATCTTTCAGCATCTCTACACTCTGAGATTGTAAAGATCCAATGTGAAATCATCTATTGAACTATTTATAGATTGTACTTTCATAAAAGACTTTCTGTAATAAAAACTCTTCGACTCTAAGATAATTGAATCCGTGAGCCAATTACAGCTAAACCACCATGGAAAACCTAGAAGAACTGAACGGCTGTTTCGTCCTAATATGAGACTCCTCACCAACGCGCATCCATGATTCCGCACACAGGATTTATTATTCATTGTTTCAACTAGTCACTTATATATTATCCATAATTGAAATCATGAGTCAATTGAAGCTAGAACACCATGGGAAATCTAGAAGCGCTGGACAGCCGTTTTGTCCTAGTATGAAGTTAGACATTAACACCATTAGATGCCAACTCAATGGTCTAGTAGTTAAGCGCTCGCGCACTAGACAGAGCGGTCCTTGGTTCGGGTCTCGGGGGAGGGCGGGATCTAGGATGCGCACTGCTGAGGAGTCCCATACCAGGACGAAACGACCACAGAGTGCTTCCAGGTTTTCCATAGTGGTCTAGCTTCAAGTGACTCATGATTTCAACCACCGAACTTTTCAAAATCTCCACAAAACCTCTTCTGATTATATATTATCCTTAAAACAAATTCATCTGATAAATACTCTACTTAATAATTTCATATGATTATAGTTTTATTATTTTAGTCCAAAGAGAAATCGATTATATTTGCTCTAATCAACCAACAACAACAAAAAAAAACAAAAAAAACAATTAATGACTAAATCAATTTAATCCATTTCCTGTCAAGTTGTACATATAGATATATAATTGTAATATTGAAAATTATACAAATGATCGATCGATTCAGTATTACCCTATCTGTATATAATAGAAGAAGGAACAATATTGACTATTGAATAAAGTAATTTATTCATTAACTCTTAAATGATTTAATAGTTGAGTTGATAAGTCGACTAAAGCTAGATTACCATGGATTACTAGATGACCGTTTTGTTCTAGTATGAAACTCCTCGACAGTGTGTATCCACAGTCCTACTCAGGGGATTCGAACCTAAGATTTTAGGTCCCGCTCGAGAACACTTGACCTCTAGATCACTCAACCAGCATCTTAAATGATTGTTTAAAATGTTCAAAGTATAATCATAATGAGTTTAGAACTACCAAAATCTTATGAGGATTGTTTATTAGATTGCAGATAAATTTCTTTAAACTTTTATTAAAAAGTAATGATTTGCATAGTTAATCACTGAATTAGTGAGAATCTGCCCTTTGGTTAAAAGACGAATATCTCACCTACGCTACAAGTGATGCAAGTTGACAAAAGCCAACCGAACCTTCTGAATCTATGCCGGAATTTTGTCAGACACCAAACCAACAATACTGATAACACTCTTAAGATAAGTGAAGTGGTTTATGTATTTAACTACTTCACTCCCTATCCCTGATTCAGTTAACGGCATAAGCCAATCTTGAAGTAACATTTTATATTTGAAGAAAGAGAACCGTATCTAGTTATAACTTTAATTATCAGTTTAGGGGTTGTGAAGATTGTTAGGTTTTTGACTGAGATCATGAACCGATTGATGTTAGACCATCACTGATAACCTGGAAGCACTGGATGGCCATTTCGTCACGCGCGAGACTGAAGGTATTGGGTTCGAATCTTGCAAGCGGGATCGTAGGTGCGCACTGCTGAGGAGTCCCAAAATAGAACGAAACGGCCATCCAGTGCTTCGAGGTTTTCAATGGTGGTCTAACATCAATCGGTTCATGATCTCAATCTATAACTTAATTCATTGTTCATTTTTCTAAGAAATTAATTAATTCGTTTGTTTAAAAAGGAGAACTTATATCGATTTTAACTATTTTTCACATGTATTCCACTTGTTTTAAAATCTACGTTTGGTTGTCTCCACTGGTGTTCTTGTCCATCACATTATTACTCAACTGTTTATGCCAAAGTCGGTATGTTAGACAACTGTCTTATTCTGGTTTTAGACTTCTCAGTAGAGTATATATATAACCTTTCTAGCAATCTAAACCAGAACTCTCTCATTTGAGTCAATTCATGAAATATAGTATGAGTGTGTAATAACTATCAACCGCCGGGGAACTGGAATAAAATAGATGTCCGATAACTTTAGACTGTCGATGGATTTTGATGTGACATCGATAAATGGAAAAAAAATCATCTTAAAATTAAGCGAATCGCTATAATCAATCAATCAGACGATAAAATCAGAATTTAGATTACGTATTTCAATTTTAACTTCATCTGATTAATTCCAATACAGTGTTTGGTCCAAACACAAATCTGTGCATTTTCCTTCGAGTTACACTTCCTTCTTATCTGTGATAGCCAATAATACAACGTGGGCTACTTGAATCAAACTAGGTGAGATAATGTTCCAATGTGTTGTTGAGAGGTTGAAAGTCATATACCTTAGCTACCAAGTTACCTCTTCACTAAATCGGGATACATCTACTTACTTACTTACTTACTTACTTACTTACTTACTTACTTACTTACTTACTTACTTACTTACTTACTTACTTACTTACTTACTTACTTACTTACTTACTTACTTACTTACTTACTTACTTACTTACTTACTTACTTACTTACTTACTTACTTACTTACTTACTTACTTACTTACTTACTTACTTACTTACTTACTTACTTACTTACTTACTTACTTACTTACTTACTTACTTACTTACTTACTTACTTACTTACTTACTTACTTACTTACTTACTTACTTACTTACTTACTTACTTACTTACTTACTTACTTACTTACTTACTTACTTACTTACTTACTTACTTACTTACTTACTTACTTACTTACTTACTTACTTACTTACTTACTTACTTACTTACTTACTTACTTACTTACTTACTTACTTACTTACTTACTTACTTACTTACTTACTTACTTACTTACTTACTTACTTACTTACTTACTTACTTACTCACTTACTTACTTACTTACTTACTTACTTACTTACTTACTTACTTACTTACTTACTTACTTACTTACTTACTTACTTACTTACTTACTTACTTACTTACTTACTTACTTACTTACTTACTTACTTACTTACTTACTTACTTACTTACTTACTTACTTACTTACTTACTTACTTACTTACTTACTTACTTACTTACTTACTTACTTACTTACTTACTTACTTACTTACTTACTTACTTACTTACTTACTTACTTACTTACTTACTTACTTACTTACTTACTTACTTACTTACTTACTTACTTACTTACTTACTTACTTACTTACTTACTTACTTACTTACTTACTTACTTACTTACTTACTTACTTACTTACTTACTTACTTACTTACTTACTTACTTACTTACTTACTTACTTACTTACTTACTTACTTACTTACTTACTTACTTACTTACTTACTTACTTACTTACTTACTTACTTACTTACTTACTTACTTACTTACTTACTTACTTACTTACTTACTTACTTACTTACTTACTTACTTACTTACTTACTTACTTACTTACTTACTTACTTACTTACTTACTTACTTACTTACTTACTTACTTACTTACTTACTTACTTACTTACTTACTTACTTACTTACTTACTTACTTACTTACTTACTTACTTACTTACTTACTTACTTACTTACTTACTTACTTACTTACTTACTTACTTACTTACTTACTTACTTACTTACTTACTTACTTACTTACTTACTTACTTACTTACTTACTTACTTACTTACTTACTTACTTACTTACTTACTTACTTACTTACTTACGTACTTACTTACTTACTCACGCCTGTTAGTGCTCATAGAGGAGCATAGACCGCCCACCAGCACTCTCCATCCAACCCAGTCCCAAGCAACCTTTTCCAGCTCTTTCCAGTTGTTATTCATCCTTTTCATATCTGCTTCTATTTCCCAAACTAATGTGTTCTTTGGTCTTCATTTTTCCGCTTTCCTTCAGGATTCCAAGTTAGGGCTTGCTTCATGATGCAGTTTGATGATTTCCATAATGTATGTCCTATCCATTTCCATCGTCTTTTCCTAGTTTCTTCTTCTGCAGCTGGAAGCTGGTTTGTTCTCTCCCACAGAATTGTATTGCTGATGGTATCCGACCAATGGATATTGAGTATTTTGCATGGACAGCTATTGTGATAAATTTAAGGTGTCATTAAATAGGTTTTTATGAAGATTGTTTTGACTTAAATGTGGTATTCATCACAGATTATTCTTAATTGGGGGTACTATTTAAGACCAAGGAACATTGAACAGTTGTTTCCTTATTTAATATGAAACTATTCATCAGTACACACCTACCAGTCTAAGCTGACGTTTATTTCTGACGTTTAAATTTATTCATGTTTATAAGATATCTACTTGTTTAAGTATGAGAAATGCTGTGATCAGTTATCAACTGAATGATATAAAATTCTAATTAACTTGTCTCGTTTCATGTTTAGGTAATCACTAACAAATAAACCCATTCACGATACACAAGCACATCTGCAAACATTTATTTATGTCTGATTGAAAGAAAAAAGGATCTACCACATTGTACCTATAAAAATTGTTGCTCTGATTGTTGGAACCACCTCGTGATTTCCGAAGAATCTCAGCTTTCATCATGTTGTGATGTCATAATTCTTCTTTCAATTCTCAAGGAAGAGTTTAAATAGTTTAATTTGTTTAATCCGGTTGACAGTTGTTTTTTTTTTATAGCATGGTTGTTTTCTATTGGGGTGGGGTTGCCGACTTCATACCCAACCTTCCTCCTTTACTCGGGGCTTGAGATCAGCAGTAACTTTAGAAGAGCTACCGGTTGAATAGATCCATACAAACTTTGTTGTTGAATAGAATATCCTGAACAATTCTATAATCTGTATATATGTGTGTTTATTAATTAATAACTTTGGAAACTATAATTGAATTCATGTTACTTTCTGAAGTTTTTTAAATGTTTTATTATTATAGGGAGAAGTGGTATGGCTTGGCAAATGATTGATTATACCCTATATAGTCAGATATTATTATTATTACCCTCAATATTATAATAATAATAGTGATTAAGCTTGAAAATATCAGGCAACCATCTGACCAGTCATCATGTAATGGAGTAAATTTAATGATCTATGCTGATTTAATTTTCTCTTTCTTATATCTATCGGAGTCATCTGACCTTATCTGTGATTGGTGCGCAATGTTGCGGAAAATTGACAAATGAGGCGGAAGAGTTATTAGTCGTTGTCTTTTTCTTTTTCTTTTTTTTGAAGAGGGGATGAGGGCGTTTATCTGTGTATGTATGTATGTATCTCTATGTAGGTATGTAGGTATAAAAACAAGTGGGTGGATATATAAGGAGATTTTTTCCTTCTTCTTTCTCTATGCTTTTTAACATTCCTTTAGTTGACTAGCTTCGACTTATTATTATTGTGTATGTATGTATGTATGTATGTATGTATGTATGTATGTGTGTGTTGTATATACGTCATTGATGTTTGTGTGTTTATTTATATCATTCTGGGTTTCTTATTTTCACATTGTTTTTGCGTTACAAATTATTTTTCTCTTCTATTTTCCTCTATTCTTTTCTATATTCTAAATTCACACTGAAACTACATTGAACAACGTAGGTTTGTATTAGGAGAGGTGTACAGAGGTGTAATAGAAAGAGTTTGATGCCCTGATTGATTAGTAACACACCCTCACACACACACACACACACCTCCCTCTGTCACGCACACACCTAACACACACACACATACACGTAACTATACGATTTACAAATGGGGATGATCTAATTTTCAGATCATTAGAGTAATAATAATAATAATAATGACAGGATTACTAATTGTAAATAAAAAAATGAAGATATTTCAAGTCGTTACAAAATAGAAAATGAGTTTTCTTTTCATATTACAATGGGAACTTTTTTTCAGATTTTCAGAAAGGGGTTTTTTGGAGATTGTGGTAATTTCAATACTTAAAAGCTAGACAAACATAGAAAACCTGGAAGAACTGGATGACTGTTTCGTTCTAGTATAGGACTCTTCAGCAGTGTGCATCCACGATCCCGCTCGTGGGATTCGAACTCGAGATTTGTCAGTTTCGCGTGTGAACACTTAACCTTTAGACTATTGAGCTAGCATCCAATGGTGTTTATGTTTAACTTCAAACAATCCATGAAATTGGTTTCAGTGAGTTACTATCTCAAAACAAACCCGGTTGAACTTCACTGGTCACTGCTTTTCATTAGGATCCCAGGAAATACCTCTTGAATTCCACTTTATATGCGAGGGTTTGTGATAGAATTCGAATGTTTGAACTCAACTAGATCGAGTGAAATCAGAGCCAGTGATTTGATAGTTAAAAACACACTGTTACTATCATTACGTCAGTTTTACTAAAATCATTCCTCAAAAGCTTTGGTCAGTTTAAAATAAACAGGGTGGGGGCTATAAGGATTCTTAAACTGTACATTAGGAACTTAACAATCCACGTTTTCAACTCGATGATCCAGATCAGTTCATCTAAGGGTATTATATTAACACGGAAAGTCTTGAAAACCCAAAGTATGTTGCCACGTAAAATTATAGTTCCTCATTTTTTCCTGAATCTTAAAGTAAGAAGATATAGATAGCAATCACTTTGGTTGATTTCAGTCCCTACAGATAAATAAATAAATCTAATCTTTCAAAATCAACTGACTAAACAGCTAATTTAGAGAAGGAACATCTATTGGAAATATAGTTGTAGATTGTAATTTAGTAACTCAATATACGTTACTCTGGTGTCTAATTCTTGATACAGACTTAGACATATCTATCTTATTTATTTATCTAAACACAAAAACATTGGTACATAAAGACACCACATATATGCGCCTCACAGATCATTTGATTTGTGGGTGGGATACTACCCGGGCGCCCTAACCTAGGCGGGTGGTTTTCATGGGGGGCCACACCCCGAGTCTTTAACCTAAAAGTCTTATCCACAAAACAGTGGAGCAACGTCAGGAGACGAAGTTCCATGATAGCCGGTGACCAACAATAGGTTCATACACCATTTGTTCCCTTAGGATCCTGGAACCCATGTAGACCATTGGTTTGGAATTAGGGTTTAGCGATTCCTCTAGGTGGATCCTCCGTATCCGCTAACCCGGTTAGAGCACCGGAAATTCGCTTTTCGTCCTCGCAATTTAGTTAACAACACTCGTGGCGCGAGGTAGTGAGTAGGACTTCCGTGATAGTGGTTTTGTGCATGCAGCCATGTGAGAGCGTTTCGAGAGGAAGAGTGGACTTTCTCCACTCTTGGCCGTATCATTATTTATTTATTCATTCATTCAGTAACAGTGTTCGTTTATTCGAAACCTAAAGAACCTATCTTCAATGTAGGGTATAATATATATGACTATCACCAACAACCTACTATGGGAGAGAAAAAACCGAGGTCCGAATGAAGGAAGAAATCAGGAAGAAGCACTGGAAGTGGATAGGACACGTATTGAAGGAAGCACCCAATTATCTCACAAGACAAGTTTTCACATGGAATCCCCAAAGCCAAAGGAGGAGAAGAGGAAGACCAAAGAACACATCACACCGAGAAATGAAGACACACATGAGAAGAATGAACAACAATTGGATAGAACTAGAGAGGACGGTCGAGGACATAGTGATTTAGAATATTCTAGTCAGCGGCCTATACTCCACTGTGGGGGGTGGGTAACAGGTGTAAGTAATATATGTGACTAAATAAGTTATATCTTTCAGTGTATCCATTAAATGAAATAGAAGAAACTGTATCATTTAATAATTGCTATTATATCACATTTATAATTCATTGTTTCTATGTACAAGTTTTTAGTTTACAACAAAATAATAGTGTTTTTTTAATATACTGCATTTGCACATACACACACACATACTACATACATACATACACACACATACATACATATGCCTAAATAGGTATCAATCTGTAAGTGTACAAATATAAAAGTGTGATTTACCATTTGCATCAGAAATGTGGCTTATTCTGTAGTGAACAACATTTGATATTGATGTGCAACAAAATAGTTACTAAGTAGGTAAGTAAAGGAAGTATGGAAGTAATGAATTAAGTAAGTAACTAACTGACTAAGTACAATAAACATGAGAAACGAATGAATTCTTCATCAGTTCATTTATTGTTCTTTTTTCTTGTTTTTTAATACATTTTATAAATTAATGAAAATAACGTGAAAAATCATAATAAGTGCTATTTATACTACTTATATTATTGTTATTATTATCACTACTATTAGTATTATTGATGTTTACATTAGGTGTTTGACCAACTAAACTACTTAAATCAAAATTAATTATAGTATTATTCTGTGTAGAACATGAAGAAGCAGAAGATTGTGATAATGATAATGAAGATGTTGAAGCCAATGGAGAAGAAGACGAAGACGAAGACGACGATGAAGAAGATGTAGTAGTAGTAGTGGTAGTAGTAGTAGTAGTAGAACAACATGAAGGTGGTGGTGGTGCACATATTGAAGATGTAGAAGTATTCGATATTAAATTAAATTCTGAGTTAATTCTATCTAAATATCCATAATTTATTGGTGTAGATTCATGAGAATTCAATATGATATCATATTCATTAGATGTTGTTATCGATTTAGGTTTTACATTTTGATTGTGAATATAGTTTGAGTTATTGCTATTATTGTTACCAAGCTACAACAGCCGCTGCAGCTGCTACAGCCATAGAAGATAACTGAGATGATGTATCAGGAAGTATTTGTGGTAATAGATGATTAGTTGATCCATGGTCATATCCAATAGAAATAGGTGATTTACCAATGATACCATTGTTAGACAGCATAGACAATGATGATGATGTTGATGATGGTGGTGGCGGTGGTGGTGAACCAATACCAGAATCAGTAGATAATGTACTTGGTTGAGGATATGTCATACCATACCATAATGAAGGATTTATTGAATCTGTTTTATAATTATGTATTTGATCAGTAGAATTCAACCATATTGGTTGATAATCTGCATGATTAGATTGTGTTTTATCCATTAATTCTATATCAATTTGTCTTTCTTGATTGTGAGATATATCAAATGAATCATTTCTATTTAATGTATGTATACTACTCATTAAACTATTTACATTATTATTAGTAGTAGTACTACTAATAATAGTATCACTGTTATGATTATTTGTAGTAGTAGTAGTAGTAGGAGGAGGAGGAGGAGGAGTAGGAGAAGAAGTAGTAGTCGTATTCACAGTATGAATCGTCTCTAATAATTGATTATTATATGGCAAACAATTTAATTTAGTAAAATCTGAATTCATCATTAACATTCCATCTCTTTTATTATTTGATATGATATTTTGTATTTGTCTATGATCTAGATCAGAATTATGATCTGTATCATGATTATAATGATTAATCGATAGAATAGGATCATTTAAATTGATTTTTGTTGATAAAATATGTTCATGATTAGTTGAACGTGTTACATCATTTAACATTGTATAAGTTTCTGTTTGATGATTAGAAATTGGATTGATTACATTTGAATGATCTCGTGGTATATGATCATTTAATGGATCAAATTGTTCAGAATAATTGAATAGTTTCTTAGGTGATAGATGCTTAAAAGTAGTAGTCAAGAAAATAATAAAAACAAAATAGGGTTTTAAACAATAAGATATTCGAAGAGGTTTTGTGGATATTATAGTGATTTTAATCGTTGAGATCATGAGACATTTGAAACTAGACCACCATGGAAAATCTGGAAGCACTAGACTGTGAGATTCCTCAGAAGTGTGCATCCACGATCGTAGCTTGTGAGATTCAAACCCAGGACCTATCGGTTTCACGCATGAACACTTAACCACCAAACCACTGAGCTGGCCGGAATCCAACGATATTAATGTCTAACTTCAATCAACCCACGAAATTGAACGACACATCCACCATTGTCTTCAGTGAGTTACTATTTCACAACAGACTCGATTGAATTTCAGTGGTTACTGCTTCTCAATGGAACTACAGGAAATACCTCTTGGAGACTATCACTAGTGAGCATATGTTGATTAATATCAGAAGGAGTTTTGTGGTCTAATGGTTAAACGCTCGCACGCAAGACTATTAGGTCCTGGTTTTGAAACTTACGAGGAGAGGTCGTGGATGAGCACTTCTGAGGAGTCCCACAATAGGACGAAATGGTCGTCCAGTGCTTCACGGTTTTCAATGGTGGACTAACATAAACCGATTCATGATCTCAATCAAGTACTGAACAGGTTCTTTCCTTATGGTTTTAAAATATATCCACAATATTTATCTCTGAGTTATATCAGGTTAAAAATTTGGTATTCATGTATTGTTGTGATTAGAATAATGAAAGATCAATCTTTCTATCATTTTCAAGTAACTGGGAAATTGAGAGAGTGTTGAGTATCATAGTTTGCATTACGGACTGAATTTAGCAAAACAACTATTGAGAACACGGAAGTACTAGATAGCTATTTCGCGAAATTGCGCGACCAACTTCCATTGTACTGAGGTAGATACCTGTCTGTGGTTGATGTTAGACACTAACACCATTGGATACCGGCTCAGTGATCTAGTTGGTTAAGCGCCTGGCGCGAGACCGATAGGTTCTGTGTTCGAATCTCGCGGGGAGCAGGATCGTGGATGCGCACTGCTGAGGAGTCCCATACTAGGACGAAACGGCCGTCCAGTGCTTCCAGGTTTCCAACGGTGGTCTAACATCAATCGATTCATGATCTTAAGAAAAAAAATTAACAACCCCCATACTGATAAATCACTTATTATTCATTTACATTTTCATATCAAGTTTACCTATTCAGCTTTTGATATACTCAGTCTGTGAGTAAGATCTAATGATGTTTTCTAATCAATCAAATGGTGAGATTGATGAAATACAATATTTCGCAGCAATTTTTATGACTCTTTCGGTCTCCTACATTGTACGAGCATTCCATGTAGCTAAATTAATGATTGCTCTAGTTGTCAGAAGGGATATCAGCCTCATAACTTCCGAAAGAATTCAGCTTTCATCATGAGGCATCATAACTCTTCTAAATGAAGATCTTCTAACTCTCAGGGCAGAGTTTAAATGGTTTGAATTATTTTTTCTAGTTAGTTTTTTTTTGTTAGTGAGTTACCAGATGAGAGTGCTAACACTATGCCTAACCCTTCTACTTTTTATCCGGGCTTGGAACCAGCAGTAGCTCTACAGGGTGCTCCAAGTTATTAACATCAATTATTCGTTTATACAAAGACTTACCTCTTGATGAATTGGTGTAGACATATATGTCCAATTCATATTACCATATTCTTTTCTAATCATATTTATTTGTTCTTCTTTTTGTTTATTCTGTTGATGATAATCATCATGATGATGATAAACTATAGTAGAATGAGGATTCATTTGTTCATAATTTAATTTTTGTTTAATTAAATTCAATTGATCTAATTGATGATGATCATTCATTCTAGAATAATCTTGTACTTTATTCAATATTGAATAATTATAATGTTGATCATTACTTGGATTATCATCTAAACTTGGTGATCTTGATGATCTATTTTGTTTGGTGTGATTTAATTCTTTACCTTCACGACGCCATTTTGCACGACGATTTGAAAACCATACTTGTATACGTGATTCAGGTATTAACATTGATCCTGCTAATTGTTCTCTAATCATTAAATCAGGATAATGTGTACGTTCAAATTCTAAGAAAAAACAAACAAGACATGATGAGAATAGTAGTTGTTATTATTATAAACTAAATATATATAATTATAATGCATGTAAGGATTCCAAATGTTCTGGTACAGTTGAGAGTGAGGAGAGTCCGTTTTCTCTCTCTCTCCCTCGCGAAATGCTCTCACATGGCCACGTGCATACAACCGCTACCAAGAAAGTCCCACTGTCCGCCTTCTCGTGAAATTGACAGGACGAAAAGCGAATGTCTGGCACTTTAACCGGGTTGCTCGACACAGAGAGTCCACCTAGGGGAGTTAGAAAACCCTAATTCTAAACCAGTGGTGTACATAGGCTCCAGGATCGTAAGGAAACAAATGGAGTATGTACCTATTGTTGGACACCCGCTACCATGGTACTGCATCTCCTTACGTTGCTCCACTGTCTTGTGGATCAAACATTTAGGTCGAAAGCTCCGAGTGTGGTTCCCTCAGAAAACCACCTTGTTCGATTTGGGCACCTGGGCAGTATCCCAGCCCTCACACAAATCGAATGATTTACGTGGCTCATATATATTTGGTGCCTCCTTGTACCGATGTTTATGTGTTTAAATAAATAAATACATAATGCATATAAGCATTGATATGTAAAGTGTTGATTAGAAGGAGTCTACAAGATACCCTGAAGTTACTGAAAAAATAATTTTCTGATAGCTTTCAAGATGTATTAACCATGGTGTTGGAGTTATAGGCAAGCATTTCTGAGGAGTGGAAGTTGATAGGATATACATTACAGAAATCATCAAACTATACCGCGAAGCAGGCGTTGACTTGGAGTCTTGATGAGAAACGAAGAAGAGCAAGACCAAATAACACACTGCGTCAGGAATTGGAAGCAGATATCAAAATAATGAATAACAACTGGAAAGGATTGTCGAAGACAAAGTTAGATGGAGAATGTTTGTAGGCGGCCTATGCTACTCTATGAGGAGTAACAGGAGTAAGTAAATTAAGTAATTATTGGGTCGCTGCAATGTAGATTTCCTCGAACTTCTAAAATGAAATTGTGACTCGTAGTTATCAATGTGAAGTGTGAAACACGTTTTCCAAATAGTTGATCCAATAGTACCATAAATTACACTTGTACATTCAAAAACACAAATTCACCATGTGCTCTACACTACATAATATCTCATAAAAAGGCGAACTAATCTACAAAGTTTACTAGTTATGGATCAATGTATATTCACAATCCTTATATTAAATATACTAAGGAGTATTTTAAAGAACAGGTAAAATTTTATAAGCAAAGATGGAATGTACTTAGCAGTGGAATCTAGGATGCGCGTCTCGCCCCGTTTGGGACTCGTCAGCTACACGTACCTGCGTCTTACAGTTTATGTCCACCCTGGGACTCGAACCAAGTACCGTTCGCCTTAAACACCATCACGTTAACCACGTAGCTATTAAGTCTAAATATCCATTTGCTTGTGCAATATGGTGAAGTTTAAAATCACTTGTTATTGTTTACTTGAATCGTCCCATTGACGTTTATCACTGCAATTGATCCGTTTCTTATAGGATGAAACGTGTGTCCTGGATTCCACTGTTAGCCACTATCCATCTCTGCTTATAATGTTTGTGAATTAATACAATATAGAGGCAACACACACAGGATGCACATGTGACAATAAGAGACTGATCAATTACAGTCCAAAACATCAGTGGGAAGATTCAAGTTAAATAATACAAAATGAAGGTAAAACTTTAGTTGTGCTTAAAACTCATACAAAGATGACCACCTTGAAGTAATATTGATAAATCAGTGGAACTAACGATTTCATATCAAAAATTTTGGTGGAACTCAAGAAGATTTTTTTAGAAAATCCACAAAATCGGCATCGAGTAATCTTTATGGCTGTTGTTCTTCTTCTTCTTCTTGTTGAAATAATGCATTAAAGATGGTTAGAAGATAAAATATAAAACTAAGCATTTTGAAAGAGGAATATAATTTATAATACTTTAAACATAACAGTTCACAACGCACTGCTACGGAGCCCCGAAACAGGACAAAAATGGCCATCCAGTGCTTCCAGGTTTTCAATAGTGGTCGAACATCAATCAGTTCATGATCTCAATCAATAACTTAATAATCTCCATAACCCTATACTCACGATTAACATGTGCTCACTAGTGACTAGTTTCGTGAGGGAATTATCGGAGTCCTAGTAAGAAGCCGTGACCAGTAGAGCTAATCCGCATAGAATAGAAACAGGTATCTAACTCAGTACAATGGAATATGGTCGCACAATTAAGCGGATTGGTTGAAGTTAGACATAAATACCGCTGGATGCCGGCGGGCTTAGTGGTCTAGGGGTTAGGTGTTCGTGCGCGAGACTGTCGATCCTGGGTTCGAATCCCGAGATCGTGATTATGGATGCGCCCTCCCACAATAGGAAGAGTTGGCCGTCCAGTGCTTCCAGGTTTTCAATAGTGGTCGAACATCAATCAGTTCATGATTTCAATCAATAACTTAATAATCTCCACAACTCTATACTGATCTATGAAACCGTCAATCAGTCAGCAACAACAGAGTCATATCTATGAAACAGATTAGTATATTCAAAGTAAATCTTATTGACTACTTAAATAATTTCAGTATTTACCTTCTTCAAGTATTTCTAATTGTTCCGGTGTAAATGTTGTTCTATTTCTTCCAATTTTTTTATTATCATTTAATTTTTCATCTAATTTAGAATGATGATGATTATAATGATCCATAGAATTCATCATTGATACTGATGATGATATGGAATTAAGTAGTGTATGATTCATTTCTGAATAATGATTATTAGTAGTATGTTGTTGCTGTTGTTGTTGTTGTTGTGAATGAGAAGGATGTAATACATTTTGTTTCGATGATAATTTTGTAAAATTATCTTTACCATAAGTTTTCATTAATATTTCCATAGGTGTTGAACATATTTTCATTATATTATTAATAGGACTAGTGGTAATGGTAGTCATAGTAGTATTACTACTACTACTACCATTAGTACTACTACTACTACTACTAGTAATACTACTATTATTAATATTATCAGTAGTAGTTGTAGTGATATTCATTGAATTGTAATGTGAATTTAATAGTTGTTGTTTGTTAGATTGAATTTTTTGTTGTAAACTAGTTGGATTAGATGAATGAATTCCTTTGAATGTTTCCAGATTTAATCTTGATTGATCTAGTTGATTTTCTATTGTTGAATGAATGAATGGATCTGTATAATAAACGAATAGAAACAACAACATTGAAATTGACTAATCAACATTGATAAAGATATATTGAAATGAATAATATAGATAATCTCAATTATTAATGGTTCACTTATAATAAAGTTGAGAATACGAAGATAAATGGCTTGTGAGATTTACAATAGTTCTATAGTTGATCTACAAATGTAGGAGAAAACGATCAGTGTAGCAGCAGCCTCAGCAGCAGTAAGTCTCAACATACACAAAGGGAAAACCAAGATTCTCCAACACAACACAGCACGGAACAATCGAATCACACTTGACGGAGAAGCTTTACACGACGTAAAAACCTTTGTGTATCTGATCACGATTGTTGATGAAAACGGTGGGTCTGATACAGATGTGAATGCGCGGATCGGCACAGCAAGAACAGCATGTCTACAATTGAAAAACATCTGGAACTCGAAACAACTGCTAACCAACACTAAGGTCAGAATTTTCAATACAAATGTCGAGACAGTTCTACTGTATGTGGCGACAACGTGGAGAAAATACAAGTGTTTATCAACAGTTGTTTATGCAAAATACTTCGGATCCGTTGACTAGACACTATCAGCAACAATCAACTGTGGGAGAGAATAAACCCAGGTTCCAATAGAGGAAGAAATCAGAAAGAAGCATTGGAAGTAGATAGGACACATATTGAAGAAAGCACCCAATTACCTCACAAGGCAAGTCCACACTTGCAATCCTCAAGGCCAAAGGAGGAGGAGAAGAGGAAGACCAAAGAACACATCACACCGAGAAATGAAGACATACATGAGAAGAACGAACAACAATTGGATAGAACTAGAAAAGAAGGCTGAGGACATGGTGATTTAGAATATTCTGGTCAGTGGCCTATGCTTCACTGGGGGGGGGGTAACAGACGTAAGTGAGCATAGTTGGTCTACATTTGGAAGTAAAAATATTTTAAAAAATTCACACAATTTCGATAGTCATTTAAGTAATATATAGAAGTGTTGACTAATAGCTTATAAATACTCCGCCTGAAGGCCCTCTGGTGCTACTGTCGTTCCCAAGCCCGGATAAAGGAGGAGGGTTGGGCATGGATTTACCGACCTCATCCTGTGGAAAACTAACTCGCTAAAAAATACGCTGACCAGAAAAAATAGGAGATGCTGGTAGAATGTCAGCTGTTAAACTTCTTAGGCTTCGAATTAGTTGACTTTATCCTTCCAGTAACATCAACCACAAAAATACTGGATCTAAAAAGTTTAAAATTTATTTTGGATTTAGAAAGAAAATAGAAAAGCTTTCCCCGGCTAGCTAGAATCTAAAAAATCCATTAGGTTTCTCAGTATTTGGCAGTGATCTGATTGAACCTCATACTGATTGTTAGTTATACGTCATTACACTGGATAATCTTCAAGAAACTAAATTTTTGAGATCATTATACTTATAAACAGCAATAATGGTCTCTATGATGTGAAACGATTGAACGAATCGGATATTTTAGTATTTAGCCTGTTCCACGTACCGTCTTTGGCAAATATGTGGGGTCTACAATACCAAAATTCTTATGAAAACATATTCATTGGACCTTTAAGACCTTTAAGTTAACAATGTACTTACTAATGACAACTATATGCTTAATAGATATGTTATCAGAATTGGGTTTTTGTGGATTGTAGTAATTTTTTAATCATTGAATTTATGAGTCGATTGATATTAGACCACCATGGAAAACCTGGGATTACTGGACGGCCGTTTCATTCAAGTATGGGACTCCTCAGTGGTAAGCATCTACGACATGGTACACAGGATTCGAAATTTGGACCTTTGATCGCAAACGCTTAACCTCTAGACCACAGAGCCAATATCCAACGGTCTTAATGTTTAACTACAACCAATCTTGGATGAGCACTGATGAGCACTCCTATAATAGGACAAAACGGTCATCCTGTGCTTTCAAGTTTTCCATGGTGGTCTAGCTTTAATTGACTTGTGAATTCAACTATTAATAGATATATGTTTATTATAATATGTATTTAACGACTAATCCAATACTTTATACTGATTTCCTGTCTTATAATATATACTATTCTTTATATATACACCATTGAAAAACTGTTTCACAATATGTTTAGGGTAAATTAGTTCAGAAATTAACTCTTCATATGAATCGTCTTTAAAAATAATTCACATAATGAACTAATCATAACAAGAGGTTCATTACAAATCAAGATACAATGAACAGTTGGTAAGATGATAATTTATGGATGACTTTCGAGAGACTCTAAAATGGCTTTGATAATGTTCACTTCCTGAATAGGACTAAATGAAGGTTATCAATGAGTGTAAGGAATTCGAATTCGAATGTTTATAGTAGATGGTTAGAGTTTTCATCACGAACTGACATCAGGTTTAATGTGAATGAATTTCGCACCGAAATCCAAGACCTGCTACCATATATCTGATTGCTTTGTCTATACAAATTATAATGTTGCCAAATAGTTTCGTTAAAAAAAACTATCAATACCACTTTATGTACTGATCTTCTAATCAACGAATCATTACACTTTATCATTTCATATTTACAACACACGTAAACGAACGAAAATGCATTGTTATCATGTAGATCTATTTCAGTTCTTATTAGTAAAAATACTCATCACTTGATCGATCATCTATAGGATCACTAAGTAGTTACTAATATCGATTATGTTTATTTCCATGGTGATAATGTCCCTGATAGTCTAAGTCATTCAACATCGGCTTACACTCTGTTTGTTTATATGTCGGATATTTGAAACTAATCCTTAAGGAGATAATATCGACATCTAAATAAACAATACTACTGATAATGTGTTTATATTCAATCTTACCTGATCTTGTTGATTCTTTCTTTTTCAATTCCATTTGAATAGGATTTAAATTATGATTATGATTATCTTGAAGGAATTCCATTAATCCCATTGATGATTTCTCATAGAATTGACATTGTCCATTTGATTCAATTTCAGAATCTAAACATTCATATAATTTTGATGAATTTCTTATAAGTAAATTGAATTCATTATGTTTATTATCACCGTTACCATCATCGTCATCATCATCATCATCATCATCATCATCGTCATCATCACCACCACCATCATAATTATTCTTCATAAGGGATTGTTGCTGTGCTTGCTGCTGTTGTCGCTGTCGTTGTTGTTGTTGTGGCTTACTATGATGTAATAAATGATCAGGTTTATTCAATTCACATACATTCATATTATGAAGATGAATTGATGATGAGGTGTGATGAGAACCATTTGAATTATGTTCTCCTTCATTATTATTATTATTATTACCCTTACTATTAGTTTTATTCAAATTTATATGGGATGGATGAAATTGAACAGGATCTATACTATTAGACATATTGAAACTTGGTAAATTACAATAATTTGTTTCAGCTAAACAATCATTATTATTATTAGTAGTAGTAGGATTACCATTATCATTATTACTATAATTTCTTATATTCATATTTGTATCCATAGAAATAGATGACGTACGATGATTAGTAGATTCTGATGAGGATGTGATGAGGATGTATTATACCAAGATGGCCAATTGGTATGATGTAGGAAATTAGAAAATGTATCATACATATTCGTTGATGATTGGAATGTTGGAGACACATCACTATTACTAGCTGTAATAGTGGTGATAGTGGTAATACCAGTAGTAGTGGTAGTCGTAGTGACACCATTATTACCATTCATTTCAAATAAACTATTTTGATATGTAATTGAATCATATATAGTTGAAGTTTGTGGATAATTTTGTTGAACAGCTGCTACAGCAGCCGCTGCAGCAAATGCTACTGTTTGTGGATGATTAAATCGAGGTGGTGAAGTTCTCGGTGATCGAGGTGACATATTTATTCCTCGAGATACTTGATTTACAGTCAATTGTAGTGGATAATTTTGGTTATTTAAACTAGACTGATTCATAAGACGATTAAGATGAGAGGATTGAAAATCAACCATTGGCATACGATTCAATGATGAATTGAATTGATTATTTTGTGTATGGGTATGATGTAATAGATGTTCATTTGATTGCATTGTTTGGATATTCATAAGAGAATTTAATGTATGACTAGCACTATTACTATTAGGATTATTGTTATTATGTTCATTTTGTGAAAGATTTGATCCTAATGAAAGAGGTAGTTGATTATCGTTACATACATTTCTTAATACACGATTTATTGATGATACCTTGAATGTTGAAAAGGTGAACAGAGAAGAAACATACACAAATAAATACTTGATAATTATATATATACTAACTACAACTGGTTATTGTTCAAAATGAGTAAATATATAACGTCAGCTAAAGTACTAGTCAAGGCAAATGAATCTTAGAGAATTGTAAATTGCTGTTGTAGTCAATGAGAATAAACAATTGGCACAACAACAATAAGGTATTTCCCTCAGATTACCAAGGTCTTCAGAGATTCTGTCTTCTCACAATAGAACGAATGGGTTAGGAATAGTTGGGTGTAATGATAGTACATCTTGTTTTGTTTTTTTGAAGGGTTTTCATCCAAATAGGTAAGGGCTTTAAATAATA